GAAATAATAAAGTAAATGAAATGTAATAAAGCAAGTGAAATGATAATAAAGCAAGTGAAAAATAAAGAGAATATCTGGTTTCAATCAAGAGGATTAATACACAGGTCTATTTAATGTACAAGTAGATCTGCGGATCCCAGGAAGATCAAACCTTAAAGAAAAGGTTAACCTAGGACAACGTGCGACCTAGTCTGAGTTATCTTATGGCTAAAACCCCACATTACAAATGCAGTAATAAGACGTTGTTATCTGTGTATGTAATTGTGTAGCCAGTGTCTTAACGTCTAATTAAAGGGGCAGGTAGTGGCTCACGAATGCGGCAACCCCACCTTGCTGTCATTTATACAGTAAGGTAAGTCCAAGTTCTGACATAAGCACGTAGTACATATAGTGTGTAGAAGTGTTAGTTAGAATAACATATGTAGTTCAAGTGAAAGTAAAACAAATGTAGTCCAAGTGAAAGTGAAAGAAATGTAGGTCAAGTGAAATCCTAAGGAAAAAGGATAAGATATAGTGAGCCAAAATAAAAGTGTCAATATTGCATGGCCAACCCTGCTAATATTTTTAGATGTCTTAACCTGTAAACTAATAAAGTGTTAGGATTATTTACTAATATTTAGTATAGTGCCTTCTGGTAAATATAGTTACTGGGTGCAAACTACTTCCTGGGAGCTAGACACTAATTGGGACCAGTTAATTTGAGAATGACAACTTATAATAATCTTAATTGTTCAAAATATATAATTAATTAATCCTAAATTGGATATCTATGTACAACTTAAATTGAATACATGGACTGCTACAGTCAGTTTACATTGTTTAAGAAGTTCAATTGCAAGGGATTATTTGCCTTACTTCTCTTATACTTCATCAATGTGAGTTTCTCATTATTATTTAAATGTGCCAGACAAAGGTCATATACCAAAGCATTATGGTACAGATAAAGTTTGCACAAACAATTATGATGTGCATCATTAACAGTGTTTATAAACAAAACTTAGTAGAAAGGTAGGATTTAGTGCAAGTTACTTTTAACTAGATATGGTTATAATAGGCCATAAAAGATTTTTTTTCTCCTTTACATATGATTGTAATTTTTAACTCAAGAAAATACAGGATTGGATTGTGCCAAGTTGAAGTTTTTACTGGCAACAGAATCATCACGTGAAATTCTGTGCTGGTGCATAATGAGTGATCAATTACCTTTGTTGGTTGTTAATTACAGTTTGGGTATTTTCACAAAGAAATTGTCCTATTTATAATTGTTTTATTGAGTTTAATAATTATTATGGTAGTTTATGATGATTTTAGTTAGATAAACAGTATGTAAATTGTAAAGTAGAGTATACAAATAGGTGTTTAAAAATATATATATATATATGCGACCACTCTGAACACTAAATTGCTTAAAATAAGAATTGCTAGCAGACAATTTGAAAGTTGGTAGACTTATGGCCTCAAAAATTTATGGAGGAGTTATTAATCTTCTAATATGATGAATTCCTTGATTAATGAAAATGATGCTGAATTATATTAACTCTGATAGTGCAACAATTAATATTATAAACAACGTGACTTTACTTCAGGAAGGAAGGACAATATGACACTCCTCATCTCCAGGCAATGACATCAACATTGGGCGATGACATCAACGTTGGACGTTGATATAACATTTTACGTATTTTATACTTTGATAGAATTTAACATTACAGGTTATATATTTTTAACTTGGACTGATTAAACGGAGTGATTTTCATTTAGAATGCGGGACGCATTCTTTGGAGGAGAAGCAAATGTGACGGAGTGATTTTCATGTTGTATTTTATAATTAATATCTTATACTTTTACTTTGTTTTTACTTTGTAAATTAATTAATGGAAACATGATACAAAAAGCATTTAGATAAACCCGGGTCATGTAGTACACCTGGGATATCTCTGGTCAGTTTCTCACATTAAATATGCAATCATTACAATTGTTCAGAGCATCTTCAGACTTACAAATGTTTCTTTAATTTACATTTAATTTACATTTCTATATCTTGGATTCTAATTAGGATTTGAAGCAGTCTTCCTATTGTTAAACTTTTTACATAACAGATTTGAAGTGATCATGTGATGTCTGGTTTTGAAGAATATACTATATGCCATGTGAGAGATTTGGGTCACTTTCGGCCTAGACTTCAAAAAGACATAACTAGATTTAGCAGTAGCTTAGAAGTGAAAACAAGTGAAATAAATAAAAGATAGAAATTAAAACATCACACTTTTGTGTACAATTAATATAAAGAAAGCCCGGTCATAAAAGCATGAAAAATGTCAGCAAATAGTCTCTTTGAAATTCAAACTAAGCCCTAATTCCAAGAATATTTTTTCTAATTCACACCAATGTTTGAAAAAATATTTTTATATCGGAAATGTGATTTAAATCTATGTTACCAAGTAATAAACAGCAATTTTTAAACAAGATTATATAATCAATGGTACTAAATTAGTACCACTAATCAAATATGTATCATTAACTTGCACTAACTGAATTACTCATGATTATTCCAGTAGTAGTAAGTTCACTAAAATACATTTTATTTGACTCTAGCTGGTCGTCAATGAATTACAATGAATAAACAATGGCCAACAATGAAAATGACTTTCCAAATGAGTACAATTCACATCCACATAGAATTCTAAAAATGTTCAATTAATGAAAAAAACATGATCTTTCCGCCGATTCACGATTATTGACTATTATGAAGGGATAGCATGTAATAAATATATTGAGTAAATAAGTGTCCTGTTTGGCATTCACTTTCCGGAAGGTTACTCATATACGATTATTGACTTATCGGAAATGTTTGTAAGATTATGCCGAGTTAAATAATTGCAAACCACTCGAATGCTTTTCACTTCGGAATCTCTATGTATACGAAACTACATTTGTTAATTGAACCTTTTTTGACTGAAAAGAAAACTTCAGGATGCAGTAAATTATTGCTTTATGATTCATGAAATTTCGTATTTTTTCACAATAAAAACTGTAAAAAATGAGTCAGTTTCACATATATAATTTAATGTACTTCAAATTATATTCAAATAATTTTCAATTTATGTAATTAAAAAATATAACCTTTTTTATTTCATAGTTATCGATCTATAGGGATCTGTAATTAAACTTGATTTCTTGTTTTCCTAACTACATGCATCTTAATTCTAAAGTATAACCTTCCAGAAATATGTTAAAATTCACAAAATATATTGACATCTCTCAGCAATGGGACTCAGCCTTATACATCAAAGTGGAAAGAACTTGCATTTTAGTTTCATCTTGATGTCAGATCAATAGCTTTTATGGAAGACATGAATATCAAAGAACACTTTGGTGAGATAGAGTTAATATAATACAGACTTGTTGAACCCCTGTGCACTTGAGTTGCATAACATTTTGAATTGGCATGATCTTGATTGAAGATGAATGATGATTTTATTCATTTTGGGTACTAACTTTTCCCAGAAAAGTGTATATAATGAAGGAATACCATTGTTGGATTATTTCAATCTCAAGAACTGATAATTTAAGTGCTTGAATATTTATAATTGAATTAATGGTTTCATTTTTTAATACATTTTTGTCATCTTTCACATGAGAAATTGATCTTTACCAACGACCAACCATAGTATATTCTTACTTAATGCATTATATATTTCAAATCTGCAGAAAGGCATGAATCAAAACAAAACTGTATTGGGAACATGAATTACTTTTTGGTTCAGTTTTCCCTGCCTTGTCCTCTACTGCAACTGACAACCATTTTCTCTAATTTCAGATCACATTATATTCAAGCTAGGAAAATCATGGAAATTCAATTGATATTAAAGAATGTGGCTTTTAACAATGGAACCTTGTTAGCTTGGCATATTGGTATTCTTCTCACAGTACTTTAATTCTGCTTCATTAAACCTCGCCGCCCTGTTATGTCCCCATCTTCCATAGGTTGCTATGACAACCTATAGATAAAGCTCTCTGCAATTTATTGTTGTCTCTTGAAGAATTTTGCAGAGTCCATAAAATAAGATAGATGAGATGAGCCCCCTTATGTGGAATTACATTACTGAATGCAAGTATGTACTTTATTCTTTAAACATGTGAAAATGGACTGAATAATATTCAGCAGTTCAAGTAAAAAAAAAACTAGAAAAACAGCCATATTTCCTGAATAAGCAAATCCCACTGAAAAAACATATTTTATCAAAACACTTGTAACTTTTAAATATTATATAATAGAAATAACCAAGCAGACATATTAACTACATTGTAATCAAATAGGCGAAATGCTGACACAGACGAGCAAATATTTTATGTTAAGTCAGCAGTTGCAGACAAAATGAATCATCCCAGAGCAAAACAGATAAGTGCACTAGATGCAATTAACGTTCATTCATAAATTTTTAATAATATAGAATAAGCATGAAAGAATAATTCAGTTTTTTGTCAATTAAGTGTGGCAAAACACAAAGCCCAGGAATACAGGTTGATGATTAAGCCATGATTCATAATAGTGATGATGTCAAAGATGATCTTGCAAATAGTTTTCAATAGGGTGATGACATTGAAAAAATGAATGATTTAATTAATAATGGCAAAGGCTATACATTAAGAATTGCTTTACTTATTCGAAAAGTGATAAAAGTCAATTTTAGTATGTTAGCAAATTGCACCGGGATGTAAAATTCTGTTCATATTTATATACTTGTACAAAATCTTGGTATTGATCTCCTTATCATTTAAGTAGTGGCTAGTGTGCAAAGTTTAAAATGTGAGTGTGCAATACCAAGAAACAATGCACAGCAATCTGATTGAAGGCTGGCTCTGTGTCACTGCATCTTCTAAACAGATGCATTAAAAACCAAAATTACACATGCTTCTTTCAAACAAGGGAGAGATTTGTCAATAAGTTTCCCTATGCGAGGATGACATATCATGTTCAAATGTTTTATATCACTTACTGAATGCTTTATACATCTCATCAATGGATATGGCTCCTTTAGGCTCCATTGTATCAAAGAACGTCAACATATCAGGAAGCTGGCAGAGTTGAGAGAGACGCTCAAGGTGGTTACGGTGCTCAATGTTGTACAGTTCAACCTTGTCCACTTTCTCGTTACCATCAAGGTCATAGTAGTTGAAGATAATGTTCACAAGGAACTGTTTACCTGTAACAGAAAAAATGTCAATTAACTTAGTCCATTGGTAAAACAAATAGGAACATTTATCATTATGATGACATAAAGATTAAATCATACTGTAGTTAAAGATGATATTTAGCAAGAACTGATTCCCTGTTAATTGAATACATGTCAGTTTATTGTAAAATCTATACAAAGATTTATTAATGATGTCACAGAGTAAACTTCCATATAAGGAGAACACCAATAGCTTCATAAATAAATCATTTGAAAAAGTCAGTCATATTCAAATATTTGGCAAAGAGATTTTTGTTTAAAGTGATCAATCAGATGTGAATGTTTTTATATAAATGGGTCTAGGTAGGGCAATATTACAGTGAAGCCTGTATAAGTGGAACACCTCAAAAAGTGGAACACCTCTATTAGTGGAATACTTTTCAGTCCCAACTGACTTAATGTTAAATGAACCTGTATAATTCGGGAACATCTCCCAAGTGGAACACTTTTTAAAGGTACCAAAGGTATTCCACTTAGACAGGTTTTACTGTATCACAAATATAAGACACAATGCCAGAAAATAACTTACTATGTCCCCCATAGTTACAATTCTCCTCGCCGACCCTCTCACAATGGTACTGCAACAGGCTCACGAGGAACTCATTCATTGGCGTAATACTACAGGGTGGGAAATCGGTCTCGACAATCAACTCAGTAGGTTCAGTTGTAGTTGGCTGTGGTTTGATTTGTTTGAACTCTATTTCAATCTTGTTCTGTTTTTTAGATTTCTTGTCTTTCTTCTGTTTCTTGTCTTTCTTGGAAGATTTCTTTTTATCATCTTTAGATTTCTTGGTATTTTTATCTGGAAATACACAATCCAGTACATAGAGCTAAATGCTAGAGTAATGAATACAGTGTAAACTTGAATGGATTTAGAAATAAACCATTCTAACCTTCATTTTAGAAGATCTTTAAGAGGGCATAAACCTTTTACTATTCTGATTTATCAGAGCCTTCTTGATATAATGCTTGTGAACCTCTACAAGAGATAGATGAGACTGTGAAACCCATTATGCCTTTTTGATCAACATTAGGTGAATTTCTTTATGTGGTTTTTAATAGTTAAACATTTTACTATTTACATAGCAAATATCAAAACTCCTAATTTGGTGTGTTTCTGCTTCATTCAACTGATTTTCTAAATTATTGATTAAAAACACAAAATAAAAGATTAATAGAGTTTTAACAGGAAAAAAGATTCACTTAATGAGATTTTTTACCAAGATGATTGATGCTAGTACAGATGTAGCCATGTATTGAAAGCATGATTGATGGACCTTTCCCTTATTAGTTATTCTATGGAATAATTTCCACACTATTTCTATCTTAAATAGCATTCAAGTGATGTAGAATTGACCAGCGCAGCTTATATAGACAGAAAATACTTAATCAAAAATATTTATGCCATATTAGGTCTGAAATATTGAAGATTATCTGCAATTTTTGGTCGTGGAAGATGCCAGATTAATCATAAATGGATTTTGATCTTTTTAGATGTCTCATACTAGTTGTTTGGAGCTAGCTACCATATTATGTCGCAGCGAGGCAGTTACATTAGAAAAAAAACTTGATATAAACCACTTTCTAATCAAATACTTCTCCTAGATTTACGCAAGGAAGTGAATAAGACTAAATCCTGTTCAAACAAATCACAGAAGCAAAAGTTCAATTGAATCCATCACCCGCAAAGAAATTCCTTTTTGATAAAATTCAATAGTACATTCCTATGAATCACAAATAGCAACAAATCTTATTTTCCGATATAAGCGACTCTATGTCTCATGCAAGCTTAATCCTTTAACAGGAAACATCATTAGAAGACTTTGGCAAAAAGGTTCAACGGCCACATCTGTCTTGTCTGCCTCTAAATAAAAATCAGAGAAAAGTATGAAATATCACATACATTAAATAATGACCATAACCATACTATATCATAGGAAAGATTTGATAATTTTCTCGTAAGAAGTAGAGATATAATGAACATTCTGATCAGTTTGTTCTGTCTGCAAGAGTTGTATATGGTAATGAGCCAACAAGGGATGCTAAGGCATCATAAAATCAATAAGAAAATGTCAATTAAAAGAGATAAGTATCTTTTGCCCTGCTAGTTGGCTGTGGAGGATCCTCAATCCCATAGTATTCCATGCGCTGCAAGATAACTGTCTACAGTCCTTGTCTCAAAAATTGATTCAGTTGAAATTGAACTGGTTGAAAGATTCTTAGACACAGTTCTTAATCCATTTGAACTGGCTGAGAATTTGAAAAAACCATGAAAAATTAGGATAATGTCACATATTTTGGACGTTTCTTGCCAGAATTAGAAAAATAGATTTGATTTTAGAAGAGAGAAAATGTTCCATAGGTGACTTTCCGTTATACTAAGGTTGAATAACTGAACCCTGTAAATTGAGAAGCATATATTTTCTCCCTGAAATTCTCAATATGATGAGCATGCATAACTGTTGTAAACTGAGTTTTCCTGGTTTATAAATAATTGTCACTTAATTGTATTTTCATCATGATGCCATTCATGCTCTTATAGATAAAAATTTAAAAAAATTTTAGTTCAAGATCTATTTTGTGGATTCCACAATTTAACACCATTCATCTCACTTAATTTTATTCAATGTTAACTTAGAACATCTACAGGGTGGTCCAAAAAAAATTGGAACATTTGATAATTGAACTCAAAATCATTATTTTTTGTCTAAAATGCACCAAAATTTCACTGAGTATTGTTCAATCACTTTTTCATCTGATGTAAAGTTTATAGGTGCAAACAATAAAGTTAATGCATTAAACTAAAGAATTTTTGATATGACCCCCTTTCTCCTGAATTACAAGTTGAAGCCTGGGACTCAGTTTTGAAATGATTCATTCACTTTGCTGTTCGTTTGATTTTGTCCAAGGCATCCTGATTAAAAATTCAGCTTGAACAAACTACTTATAGGCTATGTTTGCCTTGGAAGATCAAATATATGAACATATTCAACATTTTCTTACCTAAATTGATGGGTATCAAGCATATTTTGATGGCTATTGTTGGATATATTACTGATTGAATATTCTCCAGAAAGAGGCCAGGGCAGTCTGTTTGAACTGGCAAATGAACCCCTTCCCCTTTCTTTTTCTAACATGAATAATATTCATTGAATGTATCAATATATGTATATCAATATCATAAAGGAGTTTCCCAGAACACAAATGATATATTATATTGTGTGTGCTTAGAGGTGGTCTTTAATAAATGCCTTCGAAATAACTGGTCAGTTTCCCCTCTACTGAAAAGTGGAAACAATGATTTTTCAGTTTAGCAGCTGTATGGGTTATGCAATCACTCACCTCTGACATGTTATTTCTTTCCTACTCTTAAATAAAAATAATGATTTAGGGCCATTCTTAAGTTGACAATAGCACAATAGTTTTCCAGTAAACCATAGATGTTAATACCTCATGTCAACTAAATATGATTTTATGCTGTATAGCAATCAACATGTTCATTAAAGCTTTGAAATAAAGAATACTTGAAAAAGTAGCTGCGAAACTGACAAGTGTATATTTAAGAAAAGGGGGTCATATCAAACATTGACTAGTTAAACGCATTAACTTTGTGGTTTGCACCTATAATCTTTACATCAGAGAGATAAGTGACTGAACTATGCTCAGTGAAATTTTGGTGCATTTTAGAGGAAAAATAAAGGTGTTGTGTTCAAGTAACAAATGTTCCAATTTTTTTTGGACCACCCTGTATATGGAGAGATGGTGGAAATGTCATCAGTCAACTATCAATCTCAATAAGAGTTCCCATGAGAACCAACATTGATTTCCCTCACAGCCAATTTCATGTCGGTCTTTGCATTACGGACTTGTTTCAAAAATTAGATCGGCCATTAGAGATTTTAATCCATGCGATCTGAGTGTCATACCTTCAATTTCTCTAATCATATTGATCTATTTACCATTATCCTCTCCAAACTGTGATCAAAGAACCTTATATTGTGGGCTATATGCGCAATATAATGTGGGATATACATGTGATATATTGTGGGATATACGTGCAATATATTTTGGGATATACATGCAATTTAGAGTGTTGATAAGGTTGACTTGCTAGTTTACTTGATTCAGACTTTCATGTTTTTTTCATTTTATTTCACATTCTGAAACAAGACCCTTATATCTTGGATAGCTCCATAACTTGATGGGTTGTGATGACTTATACATATATAGAAATGAACAAGCAGTGACAGTAAAATCTGGTTCTCAATTGTGGATGTAAATACTTTGAGATTATACTGTAAAGGCATGTTCCATTATAAACTGTATAAACTGTAAAGTAATGGCATGCTCCATTTGAGATTCCCTAACCTTGCAGTTATTTTCCTAGAAGGATTAAACTGAATACAAGAGGTGACACTAACTCCCAGCCTTATTCAATTAGTAAAAGGGAACCCATAGAAAACATCCAATTTCCTTACTAAGCAACACTATATGTACAGATATATGGCTCCAAGAATATGTTAGTTCAACAGCAAATCAATTCTATTTGTGTTAAGAATTGTCCAATGTGATTTTTGATCCAAATAAAAGAGCTTTCTACATTATTTCAAAACATTAATTTTCTTATGTTCTGCGGCAAATTAATTTTTTGTTGAAAGATCTGATGTGAATCCATTTGAAGGTGAAGCAATGTCATTTCAAAGATCTTATAGCTTTTGTCACTTCTCCTTCCAATGATAAAGCCTCTCGAACATTTTAATTATTGCAAATATAGAATATTAAAAAGTTCACTGTATGGGCCATGAAGTGTGAAAATGATACAATCAAACATCTGAGTTAAAAACAAATTGTGAGGTTTTTCTACTATTTCATGAATTATAGCTTGATCCCCTATAGCAGGCTAATCTTCTGATCCCACCCAGTGTGAGCATCACAGGAAATATTTTAGACATTTTAGACATTCAAAATGTTCCTCCTGGGGCAAGGGGTTTACAAATTCTAAATCAAGGTCTCTCCAGGCATCAATTATTACTGTATAATTCAGCCTGATTGGGGAACGTGTCCTGATTGGTAATGTCCCCTCGACGCTGCTTTGTAACCTTTAGCATAACATTCCTGGATGGCAATACATTTTTTTGAGTTTCAATTCAAAGCAATAGGTTAAAATTCTATAAAAAACTACATATTAATGACAATGTCATTAATTAATCTGGCAAACAAATAATAATAATAGTTTAAATACTTAAAATTTGATAAAACAATACTGCCATGAGCTTTCTTCGAAACACTTTAGTAATTTTTCATGACTCCAGTATATAAGAAACTGGCTTAACTTGGAGAGTGAAATTATCATTTTATCCTTCAAAGCCAGTGAGTACACAATTAAATTATTAAATTCATAGAATACCCCCTGCGCATCTACTCCCTCCCTGATTCTGCCCATGAGAGAAGTTTTCCAAAAATATACAAACCTTTAATTGACTGGCATCCCTTTCCCTTGCGGTCAATGCCGATATGTTTCCTTGTCACGCATGCCATCCTATGAAGCTCACAATGACTGGGGTAAATCTGGCCATCTGACCCACAGACTTTCTTGGCGTGACCCTGGCAGTAGCCTTCTGGGGCACAAACACACTCTGCCCCTCCACTGGATGCCTGGCAAACACGCCCCTCATGACACCAAACTGTGGCACAAGGATCTAAAAAATAAAGCATCAAACATATGTAAGATTTATTTTGAGTTCAATTTTAAAGAGGTCTCATATCTTGATGTTTGGAACACATGTATGTGTGCAAAGTGTGTTTTGCTTCATTGTTATGAATTTTCAATAAGAAGCGATTTTTTTCCTGGAATTCATAATTCATTACGTCGCCTTCTAAAAGAAAATAAACAATTGGTAGAGGCTCAGATATGTTCTTTATATTGACCCGACTTGAATAAACCAGAAATGCAACACTTCCGCATATATCAGTACTACTCGGTACATGTACATATATCTCTATAAAAATCGATATATCTTTTCTCACAGCTGTTAAGTAGTAGACAAAGGAAAATTGAAGATAATAATGAATACACAAGAAGGATTACCTGAAAGCATTTTTCAAGATAATTCTTTTGACTCGCATGGACCAATTTGGTAATTATATTACAACATGCATACTGTTCATTTTCCAACTAAATGTTTAGTCTGATATGGAGATAAAAATTATAGTAATCAGTGATTTCAACAGGATGTTTTCTCAAGTGGGTGCAAAATTTTCATTTTCACAATTCAGACCAAAATTGGTTAAAATATGCCCATTTTTCATAATTTTTCTCATTTTCAAGTGGGTGCAAATGGATTTTCAGGTGGTTGCAAGCCTGTTTCCAAAATCTCAGGTGGGTGGTAATATTATAACCGAAATGGTCTATACCATTAAAAAGAGATTGTCAAAGAATGCATGTAGACAGAGAGAGAATCAAAAACATTTTTTATAGTGTACTGAAGTCATTTCAATTAACAAAACATGATAAGTATATAACTCCTGAAATGAGAACATCTCATTGGTTATATATTCATCACATCGTTTATCTGTTGTGCCATGTAAGTTAAGCGTGTCCCATGTGTGTCATGAAACGCAACCTTCATTAAGCAATGACTAGATAGCATGAATAAAATATATTGAGTGCTTGGAATATTTATTGCATTAACAAAATGGCTTGATATAGTAGTATGACAAGAAATAGACTTGGGAAACCAGGAAAGATAATAAGTAAGCCACGTATGAAGTCAACAATCAATATCGCATAATTTGTAATAAATAAAAACTATCTAACAGAGTGTATTATATCTTTATTGCGATGAAATAGTATGATATGATGTTTATGTATTTTGTACAATCATTAAAGATAGAAGTGTCCTATCACATATCTTTACTTTGTTATATTGAAAATGGATGTTATTCTGACAAAAGAAGCACATGTATTGAAAAAATATAGAATATTGAAAATTCCATGTTTACGTTTTGAGAAATTTTGTAAATTTTTGAAGCCAATCTCATTTTTGCCACTTTAACTTTAAAATCTCCATTTTTGAGAAAACATTCCAATTTTCCAACATGACTGTCAATAGAGAAATATATGTATACCACCACTCCCCGAGCTACAAAGATTTCAATTCTCAATTAATTTCTTCTTCCTCATGAGAAGATGCCAATTTCCTCATAATCGCAAAAATGATATATTTTGAATAATTTATATCAGATCATAAGGAAATAAGAGACCAAAGATAAGGATCAAATTATGAAATAAACCAATGAAAGAGGTCAAAATGGAAATTGTAGATTATAAAACATCTCAAGACGTGATATTCTGACCACTTATGTTAGTAATATTCCTGTGATATTTGTCTGACAGTGTAGATAACACTATGAATCAATATATCAACTAAAAAAGACCTTATAAATGAAGAACATATTGTGCTTCAATTAGAAAAAATGCTTTTAAAAACTTGACATGTGTATCTTAGTTTGGATTTCTATTTTTCTCATGGGTACATGGAAATTTGCGTTTTTATATGTCATATTCATATTTTTTGAAAGGTTTAAAGAATAAATACTACTCTTAAGAGTCTCAGGTTCATACATCAGTTCAATATCCCATCATCCAGCTACTGAATAATACTGATGCAGAAAACCAAAGATTAAGATTGAATGAGAAGATATAACAAGAAAAAGGGTAATCCCATAGAGTTTGAATATAAATCAAAAATTACATATCTACAGCTAATATTACTGACTCAAATCTGAAAAATCTCGCATTCAAATCTTAACTCAGTCAGAATTACCATTTTATTAGAAATAATGGCCTATTATAAATATAAGGTCTACCTACTATGTTGGGTATGTCAACTGTATCATTAAGGCCTTTTATATGGGTTATCATAAGAGATGAAAAGTGTTTAACCTTCAACCGAGAGGCTTCTCCTTAAGGAGACAATGCGATACTTGATATGGCTACTTTATTGTGACTTTCCTTGGTCTCAAAAGCTACATCAAATCACAGATATTGGCCAGATCGTTTTGTAGTAGGATCATAGGCTCAAAGAATAATACAGAAGATACGACACTAAATTGGAAAATTTCGAAAAAAAAGTGACCACCTTTCAAAACGTTCCTTATACAAAATGGTACCTGTTTCCCCGTGACAGATTTTGCACTTATTTTATAGCTGAGATCTTCATCTTTCTATTTCTACTTGTTTGGTTCGAGTAAATAACCTATGGATGCAGTTATTTGACTTTCAATACGGCGAATATTTTTCACGAAATCCGGACTCTTGTGTGTCCAAATATCATTGTAATGATGACGTCACATTTCTGGAACCACGGGAGCAACATTCAGATTTGGACAGACAAGAGTCCGGCGATAAAATATCACTGTTTTGGCCTCTTATCAACACAGTATTGCTTGAATAACGGCCATTGGTGATAAAAAAGGTAAAGAATAACAAGACCCTTCGAATGAGGTATGATTTGTCTCATATTTTTCAGAAATGGCTCCAGAATCGTCATTTTGAAATTTGAAATTTTCTGAGGTGTCTCATCTTGAGGAAATATTATTGAGCTACTGATTCTACTACAAAAGAATCTGGCCGGGATCTATGCATCAAATCATGTAATAATACCACAAGATATGATTTTCATGGCATCGCCTTCCTCGAAGATCTTCCTATCACCACCAGCGAAAAACCTCCACTTCCCCTTTATCAGCCCCACTACTAACGGGAAAAGGGTGGATTCTTGCATTGGATATTTAAAGCTTAACAAGTCATATCAGGATTGCCCTTCACTTACCACAGTCAGAGATAATCTTGAGGGATGTCTTTAATTCTAAACTTAGCATGCATTGCTTACATTCTAGTAAAGTCATATTGACAAGTAAGATGTTATTTATTGGAAATCTTAATCATCTCTGCATGATCTGAATATGTTACTTCAGTAGATTAATAACAACATATGGTAGAAATGTACAATCAATATGCCAATATACAAAATAGAAGAAACAATTTTAAAAACAGAAAATCGAACTGGTTAATCACACTGGGTTGTGTTTACCAAAGGCTTACAGTTAAATCTATTTTTACTGATATGTATTTTATTTGATATGTTGAAATTAGAAGTATTTCTAAGAGTAACTTCGGAATTATGCATCATCTTTGAAGTATATATTATGCAACTAATAATCTAAACCCTCGCTAAGTTGATATGTAATATCTCACACATTTATTCATTGACATTTCATAAGTTGAAAGATTAATACCCTGAACCCATATTGACTTCTCATACTGCCCTCTGATAAAAACAAATGATTTAAAGCTGGTAAGTTCTCAAATATAGATCTTTTATGATATGATATTTTGTGGGAGTCAGAATTAAAGTTACATAAGTTAGTTTATAGGCAGAATATGTTAGAGTTGTGATTTCATGATATTATATTGAGATAAGGATTCTGTAGGAAAGCTGAAAGAGACTATATTCGTTCACTTTGCCCAGCGTTCGAAGATGGAAAGAATCATAACTGATTTGAACAATGCAGATAAAGTCAATCTCCTGCAAAGGGTAAATATTTTCAATTGAGATAATGATAACAAACTGAACTTCCTTTAAACTGCACTGAAAACAAGTTATTTCCAAGCCTTCACCATTTTCATAAAAATGAGAAAATGATGTGGAATGACTACAGTGCCTTTATAAAGCAAATGTGCCGTCTTCTAAACTTCACAAGAATGGTATATGCTGTGGCACATTAGGATGAGTTCTTGCATGTAACAATTCCATTATGTAAGGGTTACCTGCAATCTCCTAGCAACCTAACAGAAAGGGTGATATACATCCATTCATTAGAGAGCAAGCAGGCAATTAATTATATACAGTTTCCTGTATAATAGTTCAGCTGAAATCTCTGCCTTTTACAGGAACCTTTTACAAGAACTACATTTATATTCAGGGTCACTCTTAGAAGTTCAATGCAATGTGGTTTCTTACAAGAAAATAATTCAGTGACACGCAAATAAGGAAACACTGAATGGAAGACAACAGTATAAAACATGAACCCCAGCGTAATCTTCATCACCAGATGGTTAGACACACTCAAGTCTAAACAAATATGAAGGACACAGGGTGGCCAGGGTCCATAAATATATTGTAATACGAAATACTTTGAAATAAGCAGTCTCCTTTGATTCATTCTACACCTCTCCAAATCATCACACCCTGTGGTTAAATGCAGACAATTTAAGAAACGGTTAAGCTACCAATCTAAACCCCTTATTTAACACAAAGTCTCTGTAGCAACCAAAATGAATTGTGTCTGATGTTCTTGATTTTCTGTATAATATGGACTATTTTCTTCATATCTTGACTTAACTATATTTTGTGACCTTTGGAAGTTGTGCATACCGTGAAAACAATGATATTGTAATTCCAAATTCTCATACCTTCTTCATATTCCTCTGACTCATCTACTTCATTATCATTAAGCCCTTCATGAGATGCTTCATCTTCCTCCATTCCATCAAGATCATCATCAGCTTCAGAGGCATTATTCTCATCTGATACATCCTTGAACTCTGATACGTCCTTGACCTCTGACATAGGGTCACTTTCTCTGGCTTTCAGATTAGTGTCGTCTGCTGGGGTGTCCTTGAACCCATTGACCTCAGTCTCCTCAGGCAGCCATGACATCCATTTTCCATCTTTGGCATCTTTGGCGATTATTTTACCATTGTCAGATAACACATCTTCACTTAGATGGTCATCATCTTCTATTGCATTGTCAGCATCAAATGGATCGTGATATGAAGATTCAAAAAATTGTTCAGGTTTTTTATGATGTTTCTGCAAATACATAAAACAGGAAAACTTTAAATTTGTTGATGAGGAATATATACCTGAATATACCTGATCTGTGCCTCCGATAGGGAAGGGAACAAGTAACAAATATACATACATATGGAATAAACAGCATGAGTGCATGCATTTCAGAGTTGCCAGTCTAAAAATCCACATTATTACTATGGCCTATATTCAACATTAAAAGGGTCATGGTCGGGTATATGCTTTTATCATATCACTGTATTGGGATTTGTCTGTAAATTAGGGTCTAATGCTCTACTAATGCTTTTAGGATGTCACACTATATGGCTCTAATATCCCTTGATCTGGATCCTTCTGGTTCTAATGAAAGAGGTTGTATTGTGCTATATTATTTCTGCATCACTCTGGGAGCTCAGAAAGGCAATCAATATTTTCAATATGTTAATCTAATCCAGTCGTGCAACATAGCAAAACAGGAAGATTAAACAAGCATTTGAGAGGTACCCAAGCAGAGAGATTCATCTCTGATAAAACCATATGGACGTATGGAATGGCAATACTGAATCAAACTCTGTATAAAGAATGTTTCAACAACAGGTTCAGTTAAATAACAGGTGGCACTACAGTATACTAAAAACACCCAGAAACTTGAATGATTAGCCAATTATAGAAAGATATTTAAATCGTATTCTTAGAATGATGCTAGAATGCTTAAATAAAGGCCAAGTCAAATCTAACATATTTCATCTTCTTTAGGCTTCTGTAAAAGGTTTAAATGCTAGAGGTACTCTTAATCTAAAGCCTGTAAATTTAAAACACTCCTAAAACATCTTAAACCTTCCTGTTAGTATCTTATAACAGCTCATTCATTGTAATTAACCTTCTCAAAGACTAACACAAACCTAACACTTTTCAAGTCCCAAATGCACTCAACACTTTCAGAGAAAACATAGGGGATGCATCTATTATGAACATAATGCATACGAAGAAAATGAAAATGAATTCCCTAAACTCTGGAATTGATCTCAAAGTTGTGTTAATGTTCAAGGGATGAGGCAAGCTTTTATGTTGCAGGATAGAGCCTTGTATTTGCACTTATCCACATTTCCCTATTGTAATGGTCTTCCTGTTCTTCTATTGTGCCTGTCAAATTGAATTTGAGATGAATCTTTTATTTAAAGGACACAAACTATACTAGACGTCCAGATCTAACATTATATAGATTTCCAGCCTAAATGCCCAAAAACGAATCAGTTCTCCATATTCCTACTTACAAACAAGCCCTATAAATTTGAAATCAATGCTTTAATTATAGACAAGACAATAGACATAAATTTGTCTACCTTTAAAGTTCCTTATTTCCATATGAGTCTGTACTTGGTCAATGAGCTCTCATAAATTCAGGAGAGATGCAATAAATATATTATATGTATCATAGAGATGAGTCAACTGGGATTATATGATGAAGTTGTCTCTTCATAATCTCAATTATGTTTATGCCAAAAAGCAGAATCTATCAAATAAAATGTTTGGTCAATTGGTTTCATTGGGTTCTGAATTTATAGCCAGGCTTTTTTTCCTGATTAAGGTATAGAACATTTAAATTCTATGCTGGCTTGTTTTTCTTTTATCTCGAATTTGACTCGATATAGACATGTCACCTATCACCTCTACCATTCTCAGTTCCAGGTAATGGGAATCAGGTGAGAATGCATTGACAATTTAAACAAAATGTATAACAGGTGATGTACATAAAATATAGATGATGTACATTAACAACAGGAATACTGATGATTGGCAAACAGGAGCTTTCATGTCAGATACAAGATCAAATGTTGATATATATTGCCATGATCTCCTCCTAATCATTCAATCAGGGACGGGAGTGTCCCATATTCAGAAACATTATATCTATGATAAATTGCCTGTTCTGTATGCATAACCAATATTCCTTGCACCTTTTCATTATGGAAATTATACTGTAGAGGGCTTCAATACGAATATTAATAACAAATGTCCTATGAGGGAGTTGAGCTGTATAGTATGTATGTATGTATGTATATTTATTTATTTAAGTGCCTCGTATAGATACCCAGCCTATTTTAGGCTTATGGGGCACATTGTACAATATATTTGAAAACAATATTATAAGATTAAATCTTTAAACAAAGCTTGCTCTTTTGATAAGAGCAGCATTCAGGAATTTTCCAGTATGGCGCACTAATCTAAAATCATGTAATAAATCTTTCAAAAGTTCATCATCAATAATAAGTTCTTGTTTTTGTAAAATACGTTTAACAGACAAAAATAAGTCATCTCGTAAGTTGTTATATGATGGGCATACTAGTAAAAAGTGGAACTCGTCCTCAATAATGGATATATTATCATTCTTACAATGTAAGCAAAGTCTCTGGTCAACTGGGATGGATCTATATCTTCCAGTCTCCAGCATTAATGGTAGTGTGCCTGATCTTGCTTTTGCAAGCAATGATCTGAATGTTCTTGGCAAACAGTTTTTGACATAATCTTCTGTTCCAAATGATGTTTTAAATGTCCTATAAGTCCTTAGTTTTGGCATATTGGCGATCTTAAGTTTCCATTCTTCGATGTATCGTTGTAGTTCCGCCGTTTTAACAGAATCGAGGATGAGTGAATTATCTCCAAAGTGTCTTGTTTCATATTCTCTTAGCAAATTGGCAGATATAAATATTTCTCTGACATCCTTGCACCAACATTTGTGTCCTAAGATAGCATTTTCATAATCAAAGTCGAAAATTCTTCTAGTTAGCCTATCTCTAGGCATTTTGCTCAGTCTAATAAAGAGTCTCACCATCTCTAATCGGTGCCTTATGTTAGGCGGTATCCATCCCATATCACCGTAAATTGCTGGAAGGGGAGCGTATTTGCCCAGGCCAAGAAATGTTCGCATTGCTCGATTTTGTACTAACTGTGGTTTGCTAAATTCCTTATATCCCCAAACTCCTGATCCATAGTCCATGATTGGGGTAATTGCACTGTCGTATATCTTAGTATATGTACTGAAGTTTAATCCATTTATGGAAAAATGTTTGCTGATAAGTCCACCAAGTGCACGACCGCTGGATTCAGCTAATGTTGTTGCAGTTTCGGTGTAGTCCAGTGTCTCGTTTAAAATAAGACCGAGATAACGGTACGATTTTGCTATCACTAAATTAGAATTTCCAAACTTGAAGTTAAAATCAGTTTTTGACCGTGTAGCCCGTCTGAAATGTGTTACTTGGGTTTTCTCTGTATTTACAGATAGACGCCATTTCGTTGTCCATACGTACATTGTATCTAACATTAATTGTAAATCCTGTTCCGTTGGCGCAATGAACACCATGTCGTCCGCGTAAAGCAGAGTTGAAATATATTCATCGTTAATCCAAATTCCATTATTAAGACCTTTTATTTCCGTAACTAAGTCATTCACAAAGATGGACCAGAGTGTCGGAGAAATTTGGTCCCCCTGCTTGCATCCAAGCTCTGCGGTAAACCAGTCAGTTAAGTTCCCATTAAGTCTTACGGCATAAAGAATTTGCGTGTACAGAGATCGGATGGCTAAGTACATCTTACCGTGTATATTGTTTTCAAGTAGTTTATACCATAGACAGTCGTGATTAATGGAATCGAAACATTTAGAAAAATCCACGAAACAGGCAAAAGTGTCCTCCTTAAGTCTCAGCCTATGACGTAATATTGTTGTAAGGGCGTATAAATGATCAATGCATGCACGAAATTTCCTAAATCCATTCTGCTCATCGTGCAGTATATTATTTGCGTCTAGGAATGTGTGCAGTCGTGTATTCAGGACGGACGATAAAATTTTACAGACTGTTGACATGAGACTGATCCCCCTGTAGTTTAGGGGCACCCTGGGGTCTTTTTTCCCAGACTTTGGGATGGGGTTAATTATAGATTTCGACCAACAGGTTGGCATGATACTGTATTCAAAACACATTTGTAGTAGCTTGTGAATCACATTTAATAAAGCATTGCATTTCAGCACTTCATTGGGGATATTTTCAATACCTGTGGCTTTATTAACTTTTAGACCTTGAATCGCATGTTGCACTTCTGCTAAAGAGATTGGGTTGTTTAAGTCGCCATGGTTAATAGCCTGATTATCAACTTCATTATTAGAACGTGTATCTGCGTTTATCGAATGAAGTTGCTCTTCCCAGCGGTTAACTAAGTCCATGCATTCGTTTAAAAACATGTCATCGTAGTTACCATTGTTTTTGTTAAAAAGGGATTCGAAGTCAGATTTCCATTTATTGAGGACCTGGTCTACATCACTGACCTTTTTACCATCCACCAGTATTTCCATTGGAATATCAGTTTTGTTTTTCCCCGGTCCAAGTTTATTTATTTCATCCCACATTGTTTTGGGGTTACTAGTTTCAAATTTCTGTATGTTATTTCGTGTTTCGTAGTCATATTTACGTTTATACTGTCTATACTTCTTGTCAAACAGTTTTTGTTTACTTTTAAATATATCTCGTATGTGTGTTTTTTCACGGTTTGAGCCTTTATGCTTGATGTATTGCCTTTCGTGGAGACAAGCGTCCTTCCAGAGTGATTCAAGTTCTTCATTCCACCAAGGCTTTGGCCGGAACTTAGATTTCCTAGTCGTGCTTGTTTTAATGTCTTTAAATGTTAATTTAGAGTCCATTTCTGTGTGTAAAATTGATACAAATTCTTCATAAATATTGTCAATTTCACTTTGGCACTTAAGAGATGTCTCCATGCGATCACAGACACGGGCAATTGACCGAGCAACTCCTTCGCTAGTAAACATATCTATGGGAATTGTTCTGTCGTATTTCCTGTTAACAGGATCGTTATAAGTTTGCGTCTGAGTAGTTGCAAAATTGCTGTTTTGGGCCCGATGTACATTTGTCGGCGTTATTATTTCAATTTCACACCAGACAATAGAATGATCAAGTTTTGTATTGTCACGAATATTTGCGTCATTTTTGATGACTGAGATTGCCTTAACT